CGCGCTCTTGCCCCCTGCTACTACAACGCCCGCTGCCGCCGCTGCGCACTCGACGACAGCCGCTTCAATTCAAACTTGAATGACCTCTCCTCCGCGGGACAACTTACATTTTGCGTGGCCGCATCCTGGGATATAATCCCCTGGGGTGCCCTTTGGGCCCACCGCGCGGCCATCCTCTGGCGCGTAGTTGCGCTTCCCCGCCTGCCCTCGGGGCGCGGCGCTGGCCTGCGCCCCCGAGTTCAACGTCGCTGCATTCCGAAGCAAGACTAAACGCACTCCATCGCTGCCATCGCCCAGCCTCTGAAGTCCACATGCCTGGGCCGGCGCGGGGTAAACCGCGGCCGCCCGACAGAAACGACACTCATTGCCACTGCGCCCTCTCGCGGCAGTTGAGACAGTCGCCCGCGCGCGCCAAGCAGGGGCCCAGTTTCCAGACGTCGCAATGCCACCGGTTGCCTCTCAAGACCATCTCGCAGGAACAGCGCTGGCACTCGCCGCGCCCGCCTGGGCCCCGACACCCAGGCACCTCGTGTCTTCGCGCCGTTGCAGCCTCATTGCTAGAAACATCTTCGCTCGAAGACTTCTCGGCGCCGGCTGGGTCGCCGCGCATTCTGCGCTGCTGGGGGCGCCGCGTCCGCATCCTAGTGCCAGCTGCGTCGAAGCCGTCAGCGAGCTCCGCTGATTTTGTCTCCCCTGCCCCTCTGCGATGGCGACGGCGACCTTCTTCTTCGTCTTCCCCTCCCTCGTCTCGCTCTTCTCGTGGGTCGGACTGCTCGTCGGCATTCTTCCCGTCGCATGTGATCCGCTTCCTCCAGCCGCTCTCGCGGCGATCCCTGTCGCGGTGGCAGCGGCGCTCGCTCTCCGCGTCGGGGGCCCCGCTTGGTTGTTGCATCTATCTAGCCTTTGACTTTCCGGCCCTGCCCATTCAGGATGGGAAAAACACAAGCGCAATTAATCGGCGATTCCCAAGAAAATATTGAAAAATATTGGGCCTCCTTTTATTTGTGTGTATTTCTTCGTGCGTCTTTGAGCCCCTCGGATCTAGCCTTTGACTTCCTGGCCCTGCCCATGCCTTGTCAACGCCATTGCCTCCGCGGCACTCCCGCGACCTCCCGTCGGCGCCCCGATCTCCACGGGGTCGCCCGCAGGCCGCGCGCTCCGCCGCCGGCGCCGACGCGACTTCCGCCCTTGAGGGCCCGAGCGCGTTGGGAGGCTTTTTGCGTTCGGGGCGCGTGCTTCTGCCGCTCCGCGTGGCCCTTGCGGGCCTGCGCGAGAATCTCTCGCTGCATCGAATCCGAGACCTCCTCGCCTGCCAATTCCTGGCGTCGCGCGATGTTCTCGTCGAGCCGCTGGATGTTCACCGGCGCGCCCCCGTGGAGCTCAAATTTCACGTGTGCCAATTGCACCCGCGTCGCGAGCGCGCTTCCAGCTTCTGAGGGGCTGCGCTCCTTCACGAGCTTCCTCGCGATGAATGCTGCAGGCTGCTTCGCCTTGCGGGCTGCGCCTCGCGATCAGTTTTGCCACTAAATCCTCCAGCAGAGCCGCGGCTGGAGCAAAGTGCAGCTGCCTGCTGACTTCGTCCTGTTCCGCACTCTGGTTGACGTTGTCTGCGTCCTCTATGTTGTCCTCGATCTTGTCGTGCAGCGACCTGCACCATCTGTCCTGCGCTATCAAGTACGCTCGGCACTGGAAGCTGAACGCCTTCCAACAGCTCGTTTGGCCGCCGAACGGCTTCACCTTGTGCAGAACCTTCGTGTGCAAGATCTCCGCGTGGCTTCTTGCTGCTGCTCGCGCTCGATGGTCCTGGCCCTGGAGCTGCCCTCGATCTTCCACCGGCGCCGCGTCTCGCAACTGTAGGTCGGCCCGGAACTGCTGACTCGTCACCGTCAGCTGACCCACTTGCTCCATCAACTGGCGAATATGGTCATCCATCTTCGCCGTCTGCTAGTGCTTGCCTCTTCAGGTCACGCTGCAGTTGCTTCTGCACCGTGGCCTTTTTCCCGGGAGAGGGGTCCGCCGCGCCCCCGCTTTCCGAGAGCTGCCGCCACGCGCTACCTCGGTCCACCCGATGCTGTCGAACGTCATTGCCGCGTGTCTCGCGTTTGTTGCGATTCTTTGGAGGTGAAGGGCTGGCCGCTTCGTCCTGGCACTCCTGCTGTTCAGTGGCCGCCGAAGACAGCTCCGCCGCGCCACCGCTTTCCGAGAGCTGCCGCCACGCGCTGCCTCGGTCCACCCGATGCTGTCGAACGTCATTGCCGCGTGTCTCGCGTTTGTTGCGATTCTTTGGAGGTGAAGGGCTGGCCGCTTCGTCCTGGCACTCCTGCTGTTCAGTGGCCGCCGAAGACAGCTCCGCCGAGCCACCGCTGCTCTCCGCATCTGGGGACGGCCGTCCACGCCGCCGCGATATTAACCGCGCGGCGGCTTTCCTGTGCGCCTTGGGCGCCGCCGTGGCCGAGGCGCGGGGCCGGCCGCTGCCTGGCCCCCGATGTTGCGCACGCGGCGCCGAGCTCGCAGGGCGCAGGGCGGCCCGCGATCAAGCGAGCTCCGCTACCAAGCTCGATCCCCCCCTTCTCCGCGGCAGGGGGGAAGGGAAAAGAGGCTCTTTTCCAGAACCAAGCAAAGAACTGCAAGTATCCGGGCTCGCCCTGAGGAAATCTGCTTACACGTTTACATTCTCATCTCTCGATGTGAGACACAAACTTCTCCAAGAAACTCTCCTGGCCCAGCGTTGTGGAACGCGCGAATTGCCGATAATCGATGAGCGATGCGATGTCGAAGGCAATCAAAACTGAGAGTATGGATGCGCTGTGAAGATGCAAACCCCTTTTATACGCCTGTGTCGAAGCTTCTTCAAGCGCGGTGGGCCATCGAAAATATTCATGGATGGACCGAGGAGGCAAGGGTGCAAGGGTACCCTTGGGAAGGCAACCCATCTCTACCATCATTTCCGACTGTAGGAACAAACGAGGAAACATGCGGAGGGAATTGTCAGGAAAAGGGTGCGGAGGGGCAGAGAAGAGAAAGTCGAAGACGACGACGGCCAATCACCGCCGCGCCCCCCTGCCATTGGGAAGGGCTTCCGCAGCCAAGCGTGATGGAAACGCAGCGCACGAGAGGACGATAGCCAATGGAAAATTGGACGACTGTGGCTGAATTACGAGAGCCCGCTTGGGCCGTCTCGTGGCTGCCTTGGGGTTTTCTTCGGTCGTCTTAAACGATGTGGAGATATCTGGGGGGCGTTTCGTGCAAGTTGGTGATTTTCGAAGTCGTCTTATGAAGGCTGTGTTGGGGCTCTCCTGATGCACTGCGTTGACGTCCTCAGCCGTTTTGGAACCCTCCTTTTGGCAGTCCTGGAGCCAGCTGGGGACCTTCATGGCGCTATTTTGAAAGGTTTGGATTATCGGATGCCTCTGGAACCGTCTTGAACCCTATAGAGATCGGATATGAGATGATGTGACAACCGATCAAGCACACACATATACACACACATATACACACACACACATACACACACACACACACACGCAAACACACAATCACACACACCCACACACACACACACACACAACCACACACACACACCACACACACACACACACACACACACACACACACACACACACACACACACACACACACACACCACACACACACACACACACACACACACACACACACACACACACACACACACACACACACACACACACACACACACACACACACACACACACACACACACACACACACACACACACACACACACACACACACACACACACACACACACACACACACACACACACACACACACACACACACACACACACACACACACACACTGAGACTCTATAGCTTCCCGGTGCCCTCTGCACTCTTCACCCTTCGCCTCCTCCCACTATCCCTGGCTTCCCCTTCCCCGAACTCGTTCGGGCCATCTTGGGGCGAGCTTGGAGGCCTTGTTTCCGACCGTCGTGGATGCTTTGGGCGATCTCAGAGGAATCGATGGCCGTCGTGGACGCCCGTCAGTCCCAACGCGCAGGAAAGCTTCCATCCTTGAGCATGGGACTCTAAAAACACACCAACGTAGAAATTATAATTGTGGGTGGTTCTCCTGGCGAGGCCTTGGGCAGTCACGCCGCAATGCCCCTGTCTCAGCAAACCATCTGGCTGCGTTGCTCCTGCCCCGCACAGTCAGTGCTGTGCCTACTCTTCGGCGCGCCGCGGTAGCTCTGCTATTCGTGGTGTCCCACTGCGCCCGCCCGCCAGCTCTAGCTGCTGGCAGCCGCCCCCCCGCCACCCTTGCCACCGTGGTTTGCCACGGCCGCCCACCGCCCTCTGGCCCTGCGCGCCTGGCTGCTGCTGCCCCCCTGGTTGCTCATCGTCGACCTTTTCGACGTCGACGTCTGAGCGTCCCTTCTTCCTCTCGGCCGTCCCCCCCCTTTTGCCCGCCGGCCAATTCGCTACACAGTGCCCCTTTCTAGCTTCTCGCAGGAACGGAATTCGCCGCTTCGCCGCTGACGGAAAAATGTGTGGGCGGTCCTTGCGAACACCGTGCAAAAAACATGTGTCGAGCTCGGGAGGCCTGCAGCTGGATCCACGCAGACGTGTCAACCCGTGCAGCGACGTCAGCAACATAATAATTTGATCTAAGAAGAAGGTGAAGGGTGAACTCTTAAAATTAAGTCTTGGGCCAGGCCGACACTAGATATACATATCGAAGGCACCTCAAGACTGTCGACTTATGAGGGAGCGCCGCTCCTGAGCTGCACTCTGGAACAGCCAGGAGAAGCTCGGGAACGCACTGACCCCGGTCAACACAAATCAGGGTCAATCAGGCTTCGCAGGATCCTGCAAAATCCTGACGCAAACCTAGTCAGTGCACCCCTGGCTCTGCAGAGTACTGCCAGATCCAGCGCTCTGGCTGACCCCCGTTTGCATAGACCCTCGTCCCTTGAGCCCCGAGAAGCCGAGGAAGAGGCTCCCGAAATGAGGAAGACTCACCATACGCCGGGTACCACTCGGGGTGCAGCCGGAAACCGTCCCTCCGAAGCCACGTCACGGCGGAGAAGCACTTGGTCCCGTTCTCCGCGTCCTCAGCACGACTGCCCATCTCTCCGTCGATTTCTGAGACACGAGAGCAGGAGACGGCAGGAGGAGCACAAGAAGGAGACACAGGAAGAAGAGGAACACAGCAAGGACGAGGTGGGCACGGTGAGGGCATTGGACAAGGAACCCTTGGATAAGGAATCCAAAGTCTTGGAGCCAGCGGAACTTTCATCGTGGATTGGCCATGGGTAGCACCGCCGCCCACATCAGATCAAGGGTCCTCCAGGGTCTGAAGCCTCCTGGCACATTATTCAACGAACGACCCCGCCGTACGGTAGGTTCGTGCGGCGTCGGCGTGCGCCAAGGTATTTGACAGCGCGTCGAACGCTCAACCTTGAATCCATCGCGGCCCCGATCGTTCAAGGTTGAATTCCGTCGGGCCCATCGGCTTCATGTATCATTTCCCGCGGTGCTTCCGCCCTGCAGAATTCAACCTTGGACGCCTTCGCCGGCGTCGCCGGCGCGCGAACGCCGCGCGAACCTACCGTAGTGTGTGGGGCCTGCATGAAATAGCGCGCCATGCACGGCAGAGTCTGGCTGATAACGCGTCTGGGCGGCAGAGGTCGCAGAGTTCATTCTAACTCTCGCCCGCGCGTCACGAACCAGATAGACCCCTGGGGACCAGGAGATGGAGCTGAAGGAGGTCGACGGGGGGAGCGGCAATGGCGGTCGGACGAGGAAGAGAATAAGGACCAGGAGAGCGACTAGAATACAGTAGACACACACTACAAGACAACTTGCTGTATGAGATCTACGTGCAGGTTTTTTCGTCGAGTTCTGAGCTCATGTAAGGGCCCAGAAGATCTGTGGCCCCTCGTGGCAGTGGGGGGGTACAAACTTGCGTCGGGCACTTGTCCACAAGCCACCCACCTTCTCACTCGAGGGGCCTACTATCCTGCCTCCCTCGGGCGAAACCTGACAGATGTTTTTCCCAACCGTCCTTTGGTGCTGGGTCCTCGTTTTGAAAAGGCAACGCCCCGCGTTCACTCCTCCTCGCCCCTCCCCCCAGGCAGTGTCCACATGCGTCCGCGCCACCCATGCAGGCACACCCCTCACACGCTTCGTGGCCCCAGAGGGAGCTCCACCGAAGGCCCCAGTCGCGGTGTCCACATGCGTCCGCGCCACCCATGTTGCCCCCCTCCCCCCCCCCGCACACTTCGTGGCCCCATACGGAGCTCCAACGAATGCCCCAATGGCGGCGTCCACATGCGTCCGCGCCACCCATGTCGGCACACTCCTCACAGGTTTCGTGGCCCCATAAAGGGGCTCCACCGAATGCCCCAATGGCGGTGTCCACATGCGCTTGCGCCACCCATGCAGGCACACCCCTCACACGTTTCGTGGCCGCATGGTGAGCTCAACCGGGGGCCCCGTTGGCGGTGTCCACAGGCGCTCGCGTCACCCATGCAGGCACACCCCTCACACGTTTCGTGGCCCCATAGGAGGCTCCACTGAAGGCCCCAGCGGCGGTGTCCACATGCGTCCGCGCCACCCATGCCGGCACACCCCTCACGCGTTTCGTGGCCGCCCAATTCGCCGGCCCAACGGGCCAGGGCGTGCTAAGATCTCCGGTAACTGGTTAACAGTATTAACAGTATTTCTAGTTCGCGCGCGCGGGGCGGCCCCTGGGGGTCCCCCGGCGAAAAGTACCCCGACCAACGCCCGACCAAGTCTACTCAGAGATGGTTTTCCTTCTGGGTGCGGCCTCTCAGGCTCCCCAGAGCGCGCTCAGAGTGCCCCAAGAGGCCCCCAAGACTGCCCAAGAGGCCCCCGAGACGCCCAAAGAGCGCTCGAAGACGCCGAAGATGACCCCAAGACGGCCCAAAAGGCCCCCAAGACAGCCCAAGAGGCCTCCAAGACGCCCCAAGAGCCTTCCAAGAGGCCTCCGAAGAGAGCCCCAAGAGGCCAAAATCGTTGATTTTCATTGTTTTTTTCGATGTTTTTTGTGTTCTGGCTTTTTCGGCTTCCGGACGCTCCAAGACGGCCCAAGAGGCCCCCAAGACCGCTCCAAGACGGCCCACGAAGCTCCCAAGACGGCGCCGAAACGACCCAAGAGAGCCCTCAAGACGGCCCAAGTGCCGCCCAAGACGGACCAAGAGGCCCCAAGACGGGCCCAAGAGGGACTCAGGAGGGATACCGAGAACTCAAAAATGGAGCCCTCCGTCCCAGAAGGCGCCCAGGAGGTCCCAAAGAGGCCCCAAGAGGCCTCCAAGAGGCCCCAAGATGTCGCCAAGAGGCCCCAGGAGACTCCCAGGAGGCCCAAAAGAAGCCCCAGAAGGCTTCAAACATGTCTCCCAGGCGCCCCCGAACGGCCTCTCAACAGACCCCAAGAGGCCCCCCAAAGAAGCATCTTGACGACGACTCTATTTCGCCCCATCGAGAGACGACCCCCAGGGAACTGCTTCACCATCAAAACTCCCCACGCAACGCGTCCGAACGACACCCGCCCCCAAGAGCGCAACATGGGCAACGAACACACAGACAAAAACCAGCGATGCCATATCACGGGCCGGCGGAATGAGCGAAGCGATTCAATAAGGAGCTTCGCGGTGTTTGCATGCGCCCGCGCCACCCATGTCGGCCCCCGCCCCCCCGCACGCTTCGTGGCCCCATACGGAGCTCCACCGAAGGCCCCAGTGGCGGTGTCCACATGCGTCCGCGCCACCCATTTCGGCACACCCCTCAAACGGTTCGTGGCCCCATAAGGATCACCACCGAAGAGAAACTATTCACACGTGCGGTGCTCACAACTGCATCTGATCGGGTCCTTCGCCCGGATGTTGTTGGTGTGTGTGCGTGTGTGTGTCCGTGTGTGTGTGTGTTTGTGTGTGTGTTTGTGTGTGTTGTGTGTGTGTGTGTGTGTGTGTGTGTCTGTGTGTTTGTGCGTATGGTGTGTGTGTGTGTGTGTGTTTGTGTTTGTGTGTGTGTGTGCGTGTGCGTGTGCGTGTGCGTGTGTGTTTGTGTGTGGCTGTGTGGGTGTGTGGGAGTGGGTGTGTTTGTGTGTATGGGGGTGTGTGGGTGTGGGTGTGTTTGTGTGTGTGAGTGTATGTGTGTGTGTGTGTGTGTGTGTTTGTGTGTGTGTGTGTGTGGGGGGGGGGGTGGGGGGTGGGGGGTGTCTGTGTGTGTGTGTGTGCGTGCCTGCGTGCGTGCGATGCGAGCGTGCGTGCGTGCGTGCGTGTGTGTGTGTGTGTGTGGCCCGGCTGCCTCTCCCCCTGTCACGCCGGGGCTCCTCCTCCTCCTCCTCCTCCTCCTCCTCATCCGTGCAGTGCGGCCTTAATTTGCATACAGCGTCCCCTGTTTCCATTCCGCCGGAGCAGCGACCTTCTTCCCAGCCGCCGACGCAAAGAGCGTGTGTGTGTGTGTGTGTGTGTTTGCGTTTGTGGGTGTGTGTGTCTGTGTGTGCGTTTTAGCGTAGACCTCAAAGGAGGACGAGGCATAAGCCATTGGAAAGAAACAAAAGAACCCGCAGAAGCCCACTTGCCAGGAGGTTGAAAGGCGAGAGACACATGTGGCTGTCCCCCCTCCCCCTTCTCTCGCCCTTTAGGGTCGAAAACCCCATCCCAGGGGGCCCACGAGCTCCTTGGAGCTTTCAAATCCACGCACCGTGGCCTCCCGAAGGCGCCATCTAAGATGGCCCAAGAAGGGCTGCAACGCGACGGAGAAGCCTCCACCAAACGCGCACATGAGGCTCCAGCCCAAAGAGGACCCACAAGACGAATCTGTCCAACGAGGGCCCGCAAGATGTCAAACACGCCCCCATCTGTCCCGCCTGGTTCTGGCACTCTCGCCTTGTCGGCATTCTGCAAGCCCGAGATGGTCCGAAAGACCCCCAGACCAGTCCGAGACGGCTGACAAGCCCCCCAAGAGGACCGGGATATTACCCAAGAGGGCCAAAACACTGCCCACGAGGACCCCAACACGGCCAAAAAGGCAGTCAATAACGGCCCAAGAGGACACGAAAAGTCCAAGAAGGAGAAGTCGTATGGGTCCCGTGAGGCCTCCCCACAAGATGGCCCCCACCACGCCAACATTCCCCCAGAGGCCCCGAAGAGACGCCCAGGGAGCCCTCAGGAGGGCCCAAGAAAGACCCCATGGGCCCCGGAAAGCATCCAACGAGGCCGCCCCCGAGGCCTCCAGGAGGCCCCCCCAGCAGCTGCGAAACAGTCGCGGAAGAGGACGACAACACATCAGCAATGACTACTCGTGTGGTCGCAGCGGCGCGCAACCACGCCGCGGTCGGAGGCAGCCGAGGGGCGCTGCAGTGCCGAAGTGGAACATTAACAGCTACACGCGAGCAGCACGACGGGAAACGGCAAACAGCGCAAGCGACATCAGATGACTCATCTTCTGGTGGTCGGCGGAATCGCGTCAACCTCTTGAAGAGCCCCCAGGACAATTGTCTACAATACTGGCCCTCAAGCGAAACCTCACCGATTTGATGGTATGAGCGCGGGCATTCTGGTGCGGATGCGCGCTAGCGGTGGTGTCGCATGTCCAACTGTTGAAGTCAAGAGTGCATGGGGATCGAGAAACTGGAATCGAGTCTCGCTCGGGACTGTGAAGAGTGGAAGGGGGGACGGGAAGAGGGGGAAGGCAGAGAGAGGATACTGAGGTGGAGGAGGGAAAGGAACAAGAGGGACGGTGACGAGCAGGGCCAGGAGGAGCACCGGTATGATGAACCAGGCAGGCAGGGGTGGGATTCCGAGGGCACTGCCCACGACTTGCTGCAACGGGAGGTTGGAGAACGAGGGCAGGGTGGGGCAGCAGAGGTGGTCGAGGAAGGACAAGAACCGCCCCCTTTGGTGGTCGAGCAAGCACCCTCCAGCCGAAAATAGAGGGCAGAAAATCAACCCCGATAAGAACCACCCCGACACGCGAGGCCTTTAGTAAACGCGCCCAAAGAATAAATCGAACAGGACATGGCTGTTTAGTAAACGCTCAAGGCCGTTTAGTAAACGCCAATTGTCCGGTCCAGGTGGTTTTGCCTCTCTTGAGTAAAGCAAGCAAGCACCATTCATATCGTGCGGCATGTGCCAGGGCTCCCGCGCCCTTGGCTTGATGCCCAGGCTTGCGGCCAACGTAAACAAGCCAGCGCTGCCTCTGGTACAAGATGTACGGTCGCGGGAGTTTGGAGGCTCATGCCGCTCGCTACGGACCAAGATGCGGTGATGAACGCATAACCCAACCGCTATGGAGAGACACGACATCATAATTCCAGCTGCTGGGCGAAACGACTGAGATGATGAAAAAGCACGAGCTTGTCAAACAAAAAGATCAGTCGAAAGCTTGGCTTCGTCTCGCCCGCTACGCCGGTTCAGGAAGCCCAAACACATGAAGCTGAGAAAAAAAACAGAGCTCGTTACATCATCTGACCTGGCCATGGCTCCGTTCGCAGCAGTCAATGCCAAAATCACGTGGGCAAAGCGATCTGCCCACATCTACAACACATATCACTAAAGTGCCTTCCCATTGTGTTTGGTGATTCGAAGGATTGCGCGGGCTTGGTAGCTACGTAAATGGCCGTGTGAACAACGGAACAGCCTAAAGCCCGCCACAACTTGGTCTCTTCAAGATTGCGTTTATCGCGGATACTCAGGTTATGCTCGACATGGGAGGGTGATCAATCCAGTGAGAGCCTCCGACTGCCGTGTCGGCTTCGCTGTGCACTGATTCGCCTGGTTCTGTCACAAGCTACCCACAAGAACGCCTCAATTCGTGATGTTCTTTCACAGTATGTACGGCTATGTTCATCGCAGGTCAAGCTGAAATTCATAATGGTGAAGGACCCAACCATGTTCAGAAGATCGTCTTCGGTGGAGCTCCCTATGGGGCCAGGAACAATGTGAGGGGTGTGCCGGCATGAGGAGGAGGAGGAGGAGGAGGAGGAGGAGGAGGAGGAGGAGGAGGAGGAGGAGGAGGAGGAGGAGGAGGAGGAGGAGGAGGGTGCGAAGGACAAGTGTGAGCACTGCCACTGGGCTGTTCGGTGGGGCCCCCCCACGGGGCCTGCGGGGGGGGGGCGCATGTGAGCACGGGCACTGCAGCCTTCGATGGAGCTCCTTATGGGGTTGCGAAACATGTGAGGGGCTGGCCATCGCTCGGACGTCCATTCCCTGTGTTTTCTTCGGTTTCGTGCGTGGTTTTTTCGCCAAATGATTAAGGATGCTCCTCGATGGTCCTCGCCGAGGAAAAAACGCACACGTCCGAGCGATGCCAAGGGGGTGTGCCGGATTAGGTGCGCGGGGGCACGAAACGTGTGAGTGGTGTGCAGAAGTGGTCGCGGGGGGTGCATGTGAGCACTGCCACGTCGAGGTGGGCCACGTCGAACTGGACGCGGGGGGAGAGTGCAAGCACTGTGACAGAAGCCTCCGTTGGGCCTCCCCATGGGGCCACGACACAATGTGGCCACTGGCTCCTCCGATGGAGCTCCGTGGGGCTACGAAACGTGTGATGGGTGTGCTGAGATGGGAAAATGGGTGGACGCAGGTGGCCACTGCTATCGGGGCCTTCGGTGGGGCCTCCTGTGGGGCCACGAAACGTGTGAACAGTGTGCCGGAATGGGTGCGGGGGACGCGTGTGGCCACGGCCACTGGGTCCTTCGGTGGAGCTCCATATGGGGCCACGAAGCGTGTTTTGACTGTCCGGAAACAGAAACATGCGGAGCGCAAAGGCAAGGGGAGGAGGCAGGGAGGGGGCAGCGGGAGGAGTGGACGCGGGGCGCGGTGTGTTCGAAGTGAGGACCCAACGCCACAGGATGGCTGGGGAAAAAAGTGGATGGAGGCTAACAAGCGGCAGCTTCCAAGAAATGTCGTCATTCTGGGCGTCGCAATGAGTATTGGCGATCCTTGAACTGTTCGTTATTTCCTCTCGCTGACTTGGGAAAGGCCGTGGAACTTCCGGCGCGCGCAATTATAGAGAGGCCAGTTGCCGAATCGTTCCGTTGACCACCAAACCTCCACATGTGACAAAGGTTGAAGGATGAGAGCGAATGACGAGGGAAAGGGCAGGGGAGAAGCTGGGAGGCTGGAGGACTCCATGAATATGAGATGAGGGAAGACAGGGAGAAGGAAACATAATGAACGTATGACGACCAAAACAAACACTTTCAGTGATGACAGGGGGGGAGAGGAAGAGGAAGAGGAGGATGATGAGGACGTGGATAATGCAGGAGGGTGCACGAGGAAAGAGCAGCAGGAGGAGGAGAGGGGGCTGGAGGAGACGGAGGGAGGGGGGATGAGGAGCAGGAGCCGGAAGACAACGGAGATGAGAAGGCGGAGGAGGGAAAAGCAGGACGAGGAGCAGGAGTAGTGGGAGGGAGAGTCGGGGGAGAGGGCATATCATATATGAGAAGGAGGCGCCAGACGACGGGGACGAGAAGCACGAAAGAGCAGGAGCAGGAGCAGGAGCTCCCAGACACCGAAAAAGTACGCGCGGCAACGACGCATGGCCTGCCGCGACGCGCCCGTGGCTGGCTGGGGCGGTCCGCGCACTGGGAATCGTCCTCCACCAGCTCCTCCTCGACCACCTCCTCCACGGCATCCTCCTCGAGATCGTTGTCTTGTTTTTGTTCGGCGAGGTCCCATGCTATCCGGTGGGGTGGGATGGGGGGAGGTGCCAGCCGATAGCCCCCACCTTCTCGCCTCGGGCTGCACCACGGATGCCCGCACGCACCGGCCCTGCGCCACCCTTGGGGTCAGACTGTCCCTGGGGGGGGGAGGCGGGCCCGAAGCCCGGGCTATCGCTGGGCCCTGCGGCCTTCTTCTTCCTGTGCTTGCCGTGGGACTCCGCCGCCGACTTCTCGTGCAGCGAGTGCCCTCGGCGGCGAGGGAGCCCGGCCAGGGGGAGGGACCCGAATAACCAGCGCTGGACTGGGGCAGCACCCCTCGGAAAAGGCACACCAGAACACCAGCGGGGCACAGGCGCCAAACAATGAGACACGCTGCCTGTGCGCCCTGCACGCTTGCACGCCGTCGTCGCAGCTGCCGTTATCGTCCATGACGGCGACGGGCGAACGGCACGAATACACTGCCACGCTTGCCGTGGCAGGTGTGCTTCAAGCCACTGGACGCGGCCATGGCCAGAACCCCCTGCCCCCCTGGAACGGACACCAAGAGAAACTGTCTATGTATCGTCACTCACCAAGAATAAAACTACCAGCAAAATATCTTCAGCCCCCCTGGTCTAGAACGGTCTGAGATCTATCCTCAGCCTCCTGGTGTAGAACCACCAGCGAAATATTGTCAACCACAGAAGATAAAACTGCCAGCGAAATATCCTCACCCCCCTGGACTAAACATGCTGGCGGAATATCCTCAGCCGCCTGGCCTAACACTGCCAGCAACATATCGTCACCCCCCTGGCCTAGAACTGCCAGCGAAATATCCTCAGCACCCCGGCCTAAAACTGCAAGTGAAGCATCCTTCCCCCCTGGCTTAAAACTGCCAGAGAAATTTCCTGACGCCCGTGGCGTAAATATGCCAGCGAAATATCAGAATTCCCCTGGCCTAGAACTGCCAACGAAATATCCTCACCCACCTGGCGTACACCTGCCAACGAAATATCCTCAGCCCCCTGGCCGAACACTTCCGACCCAACATCACCACACCCTTGGCTCAACATGCCAGCGAAATCTCCTCACCCTCCCTGGTCTAAGACTGCCAGTTAAATATCCTCAGCCCCCTGGCGTACACCTGCCAACGAAAACTCCTTAGCCCTCTGGCCTAACACCTCCATCAAAATATCCTCATCCTCTTGGTCTAAAAATGCCAGCGAAATATCGTCACCCCCACTGGCGTGAAATTGCCAGCGAAATACCCTCACTCCCTGGCTTAAAACTGCCAGCAACATATCGTCACCACACCTGGTCAAAAACTTCCAGCGAAATAGCTACAGCCCCCTGGCCTAAAACTGACAGCGAAATATCCTCCCCCCTGGACTAAAACCATCAGCGATCTATCCTGACACCCCTGGCGTAAAACTGCCAGCACATCCTCAGCCTTCGGAGATGAAGCTGCCATCGACATAGCCTCAACCCCGTGGCCTAAAACTGCCGGGGAAATATCCTCGAGACCCTGGCCAAAAGCTGCCAGCGAAATGTCCTCAAGCCACCACTCTAAAACTGCTAGCGACAGATACTCCCCCCCTGGCCTAAAACTGCCATCTAACGGCGCGGGATCTAACGGCTCGGATGTTTCAGTCAGTTCAGTTCAGCCAGTCAGTTCTGGACAATCAAACTACGGGCTGCGCCCATAGAACACATGCAACATCGCAAAACAAGTAACGACTGGAGCTTTGGACCCCATGCCTCTGCGTCATGTCTCGAGCCGGACCGATCTGTGAGACAATTGCAAGGCCAGCATCTCAGGGAGGCGCCAGCTCTTGGCCGTGCCAGCGCACACTCCTCTCTCCTCCTCCTCTCTCCTCTTCCTCCAACTCCTCCTCCTCCTCCTCCTCCTCCTCCTCCTCCCTCCTCCTCCTCCCTCTCCCCCTCACCCCTCCTCCTCCT